AGGCGTTGGCCTCCGGAGCCAAAGATTGTGGGATCGAGTCCTGCCAGGAGCAGTTCCTATTTTACTGGAGAGGATATTAGTTTAACCTTGTTGTCCCATTCAAAATAGACTAATTACTAAGAACTTTATAAATTCTTCGAAACTCAAAGCCTCCTTAAGGTAAACATTAACTGTTTTAACTCCAATTGCATATTCTTCAGTATTTCCTTTTTCGTAAAGTAGCTTCCTGAGCGCTCCTGTGGCCTAATGGATAAGCAAGGTAATTCCGAGCCAAAGTTTGTGGGTTCGAGTCCTACCAGGAGCAGTTCCTATTTTACTGGAGAGGATATTAGTTTAACCTTGTTGTCCCATTCAAAATAGATCAATAACAAGGGAGCTTTAAATTCTTCGAAACTCAAAGCCTCCTTAAGGTAAACATTAACCAGTTTTAACTCCACTGTATTCTTCATAGCATTTTTTGTAAAGTAAGTTTCTGAGCGCTCCTGTGGCTCAATGGATATGCTGGCCCCGAGCCAAAGATTGTGGTTCGAGTCCTGCCAGGAGCGTTTCCTATTTTACTGGAGAGGATATTAGTTTTTTACCCTTTTGTTGTTCCATTCAAAAATAGACTAATAACAAGGAACTCTCTTTTTAAATTCTTCGGAAACTCAAAGTCACCTTTTAAGTTCTTAAGATTAACTCGGTTTTTAAAACCCAATTGCCGATTCTTCAGTATTTCCTTTTTGTAAAGCAGCTTCGGAGCACTCCTGTGGCCTAATGGATATGGCGTTGGTCTCCGGAGCCAAAGATTGTGGGTTCGAGTCCTGCCAGGAGCAGTTCCTATTTTACTGGAGAGGATATTAGTTTAACCTTGTTGTCGAATACAAAATAGACTAATTATACTAAGAACTTTAAATTCTTCGAAACTCAAGGCCTCTTTAAGGTGTAAACATTAAATGTTTTAACCCAATTGCATATTCTTCAGTATTTCCCTTTCTTTTTGTAAAGTAGTTTCTGAGTGCTCCTGTGGCTTAATGGATAAGAGCGTTGGCCTCCGGAGCCAAAGATTGTGGGTTAGAGTCCTGCCAGGAGCAGTTCCTATTTTACTGGAGAGGATATTAGTTTAACCTTGTTGTCCCATTCAAAATAGACTAAACAAGGAGTTTTTTAAATTCTTCGAAATTAAAAAACCTTTGGAAACATTAACTTTTTTAAACCCCAAAGTACCTTCATATTTCCTTTTTGTAAAGTAGTTTCTGAGCGCCCTGTGGCCTAATGGATAAGGCGTTGGCCCCCGGGACCAAAGGGGGTTAGTCCTCCCGGGAGCGTTTCCATTTTAGGGAGAGGATTTTGTTTTTACCCTTGTTTTTCCTTTAAAAATAGACTAATAAAAAGGGAACTCTTTAAATTTTCGAAACTCAAAGCCACCTTAAGTTTAAGATTAACTTTTTTAAAAAACCCAATTGCCGATTCTTCATATTTTTTTTTGTAAAGCAGCTTCGAGCACCCCTGTGGCCTAATGGATATGGGTTGGTCTCGGAGCCAAAGTTTTGGGGTTCGAGTCCTGCCGGGAGCAGTTCTTTTTACTGGGGGGATTTTGTTTAACCTTTTGTTGTCGAATACAAAATAGACTAATTATACTAAGAACTTTAAATTCTTCGAAACTAAAAAGCCTCTTTTTTGGAAAACATTAAATGTTTTAACCCCAATTGCATATTCTTCAGTTTTTCCTTTTTTAAAGTAGTTTCTGAGTGCTCCTGGGCTTAATGGATAAGAGCGTTCCCCCGGGCCAAAGAGGGGGGTTGAGTCCTGCCAGGAGCATTTCCCTATTTTACGGAAGGATATTAGTTTAACCTTGTTGTCGAATAAAAAATGGGCTATATACTAAGAGCTTTAAATTTTCGAAACTCAAACCCTTTCCTTGGTAAAATTTGTTTTATCTCCAATTGCACATTCTTCAGTTTTTCCCTTTTTTTTGAAAAAGTAGTTTTAGCGCCCTGGGGCCCTAATGGATAAGGCGTTGGCCCCGGAGACAAAGATTGGGTTGAGCCTGCCAGGAGAGCCCATTTTACGGGAGAGGATATTAGTTTACCCTTGTTGTCCTTTCAAAATAGACTCAAATTATACAAGAACTTTAAATTCTTAAAAAAGGCCCCCTTTAAGGCATTAACTGTTTTAACCCCAATTGCATATTCTTCGTTTTTCCCTTTTTTTTGTAAAGTAGTTTCTGAGCGCCCGTGGCCTAATGGATAAGGCGTTGGCCTCCGTAGCCAAAGATTGTGGGTTCGAGTCCGCCAGGAGCAGTTCCCTTTTTTACTGGAGGATATTAGTTTAACCTTGTTGTCCCATTCAAAATAGACTAATAAAAAGGGAAATTTTAAATTCTTCAAAACTCAAAGCCTCCTTGGTAAACATTAACGTTTTAACTCCAATTGCATATTCTTCAGTTTTTCCCTTTTTTTAAATTTATTTTTTGAGCGCCCTGTGGCCAAATGGATAAGGCGTTGGCCCCCCGGCCGAAGATTGGGATCAAGTCCGCGGGAGCAGTTCCTTTTTACGGAGAGGATATTAGTTTAACCTTGTGTCGAATCAAAAAAACAATTATACTAAGAACTTTAAATTTTCGAAACTCAAAGCCCCCTTAAGGTAAACATTAACTGTTTTAACCCCAATTGCATATTCTTCAGTTTTTCCCTTTTTTTTTGTAAAGTAGTTTTGAGCGCCCCTGTGGCCAAATTTGGATAAGGCGTTGGCCTGGAGACAAAGATTGTGGGTTCGGGGTCCTGCCAGGAGCAGTTCCTTTTTTTTACTGGAGGGGAAAAGGTTTCCCCCTTGTTGTCGCATTCAAAATAGACTCTAATTATACTAAGACTTTAAATTCTTCGAAACTCACAGCCTCCTTAAGGTAAACATTAACTGTTTTAACTCCAATTGCATATTCTTCAGTATTTCCTTTTTTGTAAAGTAGTTTCTGAGCGCTCCTGTGGCCTAATGGATAAGGCGTTGGCCTCCGGAGCCAAAGATTGTGGGTTCGAGTCCTGCCAGGAGCAGTTCCTATTTTACTGGAGAGGATATTAGTTTAACCTTGTTGTCCCATTCAAAATAGACTAATAATAAGGAACTTTAAATTCTTCGAAACTCAAAGCCTCTCCTTAAGGTAAACATTAAATGTTTTAACTCCAATTGCATATTCTTCAGTATTTCCTTTTTTTGTAAAGTCGTTTCTGAGCGCTCTTGTGGCCTAATGGATAAGGCGTTGGCCTCCGGAGCCAAAGATTGTGGGTTAGAGTCCTGCCAGGAGATATTCCTATTTTACTAGAGAGGATATTAGTTTAACCTTGTTGTCATATTCAAAATAGACTAATAACAAGGAGCTTTAAATTCTTCGAAACTCAAAGCCTCCTTAAGGTAAACATTAACTGTTTTAACTCCAATTGCATATTCTTCAGTATTTCCTTTTTTGTAAAGTAGTTTCTGAGCGCTCCTGTGGCCTAATGGATAAGGCGTTGGCCTCCGGAGCCAAAGATTGTGGGTTCGAGTCCTGCCAGGAGCAGTTCCTATTTTACTGGAGAGGATATTAGTTTAACCTTGTTGTCGAATACATAAAAATAGACTAATTATACTAAGAACTTTAAATTCTTCGAAACTCAAAGCCTCCTTAAGGTAAACATTAACTGTTTTAACTCCAATTGCATATTCTTCAGTATTTCCTTTTTTTTTTTGTAAGTAGTTTCCACGAGCGCTCCTGTGGCCTAATGGATAAGGGGTTGGCCTCCGGAGCCAAAGATTGTGGGTTAGAGTCCTGCCAGGAGCAGTTCCTATTTTACTGGAGAGGATATTAGTTTAACCTTGTTGTGTCCTATTCAAAATAGACTAATTACTAAGAACTTTATAAATTCTTCGAAACTCAAAGCCTCCTTAGGTAAACATTAACTGTTTTAACTCTAATTACTTGCATATTCTTCTGTATTATTTCCTTTTTTTTTTTCGTAAAGTAGTTTCTGAGCGCTCCTGGCCTAATGGATAAGGCGTTGCCCTCCGGAGCCAAAGTTTGTGTGGGTTCGAGTCCTACCAGGAGCAGTTTCTGTCCCTTTACTGGAGGATATTAGTTAACATTCCCATTCAAAATAGACTAATAACAAGGAGCTTTAAATTCTTTGAAACTCAAAGCCTCCTTAAGGTAAACGTACTGTTTTGCTCAATTGCATATTCTTCAGTATTTCCTTTTTTGTAAAGTAGTTTCTGAGCGCTCCTGTGGCCTAATGGATAAGGCGTTGGCCTCCGGAGCCAAAGATTGTGGGTTCGAGTCCTGCCAGGAGCGTTTCCTATTTTACTGGAGAGGATATTAGTTTTTACCCTTGTTGTTCCATTCAAAATAGACTAATAACAAGGAACTCTTTAAATTCTTCGAAACTCAAAGCCACCTTAAGTTTAAAAGATTAACTGTTTTTAAAACTCAATTGCCGATTCTTCAGTATTTCCTTTTTTTGTAAAGAAAGCAGCTTCGGAGCACTCCTGTGGCTAATGGATAGGCGTTGGCCTCCGGAGCCAAAAGATTCAATAGTTTCAGGTCGCACTTAGGAGCAGTTCTATTTTACTGGAGGATATTAGTTTAACCTTGTTGTCGAATACAAAATAGACTAATTATACTAAGAACTTTGAAATTTACTTCGAAATCCAAAGCCTCTCTTTAAGGTAAACATTAAATGTTTTAACTCCAATTGCATATTCTTCAGTATTTCCTTTTTTTGTAAAGTAGTTTCTGAGTGCTCCTGTGGCTTAATGGATAAGAGCGTTGGCCTCCGGAGCCAAAGATTGTGGGTTAGAGTCCTGCCAGGAGCAGTTCCTATTTTACTGGAGAGGATATTAGTTTAACCTTGTTGTCGAATACAAAATAGACTAATTATACTAAGAACTTTAAATAGCTGAAACTCAAAGCCTCTCCTTAAGGTAAACATTAAATGTTTTAACTCCAATTGCATTCTTTTAGTATTTCCTTTTTTTGTAAGTAGTTTCTGAGCGCTCCTGTGGCCTAATGGATAGGCGTTGGCCTCCCGGGCCCAAAGATGTGGGGTTTAAAGTCCTGCCAGGAGCAGTTCCTATTTTACTGGAGAGGATATTAGTTTAACCTTGTTGTTGTCCCCACGTCAAAATAGACTAATAATAAGGAACTTCAAATTCTTCGAAACTCAAAAGCCTCCTTAAGGTAAACATTAACTGTTTGCTCAATTGCATATTCTTCATTATTATATTTTTGTAAATTAGTTTCTGAGCTCCTGTGGCCTAATGGATGAGCGTTGGCCTCCGGAGGCCAAGATTAATGGGATCAAGTCCTGCCAGGAGCTAGTTCTATTTTACTGGAGGATATTGGTTTTACCCTTGTTGTCGCATTCCAAAATAGACTCTAATTATGTACTGAGACTTTAAAATTTCTTCGAAACTCACACACTCCTTAAGGTAAACATTAACTGTTTTAACTCCAATTGCATATTCTTCAGTATTTCCTTTTTTTTTGTAAAGTAGTTTCACAGGCGCTCCGCATGGCATTTCATGGATAAAGCGATTGCAGCCTCCGGAGCCCAAAAGGTGTGAGTTCGAGTCCTGCCGGGCAGTTCCTATTTTACTGGAGAGGATATTTGGGACAACCTTGTTGTCCCATTTAAAATAGACTAATAATAAGGAACTTCAAATTCTTCGAAACTCGAGCCTCTACCCTTAAGGTAAGCATTAAATGTTTTAACTCAGTGCATATTCTTCAGTATTTCCTTTTTGTAAAGTCGTTTCTGAGCGCTCATGGCCTAATATGGATAAGGCGTTGGCCTCGGAGCCAAAGATTGTGGGTTAGAGTCCTGCCAGGAGATATTCTGTGCACTAGAGAGGATATTAGTTTAACCTTGTTGTCATATTCGGAAATAGACTAATAACCGAGGCTTAAATTCTTCGAAACTCCAGGCCTCTTAAGGTAAGCATTAACTGTTTTGCTCAATTGCATATTCTTCAGTATTCCTTTTTTTGTAAAAACTGGTTTCACAGGCGCTCCTGTGGCCTAATGGATAAGGCGTTGGCCTCCCGGAGCCAAAGGTGTGGGTTCGAGTCCTGCCAAGGGCAGTTCCTATTTTTACTGGAGAGGATATTAGTTTAACCTTGTTGTCGAATACATAAAATAGACTACTAAGAACTTTAGTTGCTTCGAAACTCAAAGCCTCCTTAAGGTAAACATTAACTGTTTTAACTCCAATTGCATATTCTTCAGTATTTCCTTTTTTGTAAAGTAGTTTCTGAGCGCTCCTGTAGCCTAATGGATAAGGGGTTGGCCTCCGGAGCCAAAGATTGTGGGTTAGAAGTCCTGCCGGGAGCAGAGTTTCTATTTACTGGAGAGGATATTGGATTTTAACCTTGTTGTGTCCTATTCAAAATAGTAATTACTAAGGAGCATAAATTCTTCGAAACTCCAAAGCCTCCTTAAGGTAAAGCATTAACTGTTTAACTCTAATTGCATATTCTTCAGTATTTCCTTTTTGGCCAAAGTAGTTTCACAGGCGCTCCTGTGGCCTAATGGATAAGGCGTTTGGCCTCCGGAGCCAAGTTTCATGGGTTTGGAGTCCTACAGGGCGGTTCTATTTTACTGGAGAGAGGATATTAGTTTAACACCTTATTTGTCCCATTCAAAATAGACTAATAACAAAGAACTTTAAATTCTTCGAAACTCAAAGAAGCCTCCTTAAGGTAAGCATTAACTGTTTTAACTCCAATTACCTGCATATTCTTCCAGTATTTCCTTTTTTTGTAAAGTAGTTTCACAGGCGCTCCTGTGGCCTAATGGATAGGACACGTTGGCCTCCGGAGCCAAAAGATTGGCGGGTTCGAAGTCTGGGAGCGTTTCCTATTTTACTGGAGAGGATATTAGTTTTTACCCTTGTTGTTCCATTCAAAATAGACTAATAACAAGGAACTCTTTAAATTCTTCGAAACTCAAAGCCACCTTAAGTTTAAGATTAACTGTTTTTTAAAACTCCAATTGCCGATTCTTCAGTATTTCCTTTTTGTAAAGCAGCTTCGGAGCACTCCTGTGGCCTAATGGATAAGGCGTTGGCCTCCGGAGCCAAAGATTGTGGGTTCGAGTCCTGCCAGGAGCAGTTCCTATTTTACTGGAGAGGATATTAGTTTAACCTTGTTGTCGAATACAAAATAGACTAATTATACTAAGAACTTTAAATTCTTCGAAACTCAAAGCCTCTCTTTAAGGTAAACATTAAATGTTTTAACTCCAATTGCATATTCTTCAGTATTTCCTTTTTTTGTAAAGTAGTTTCTGAGTGCTCCTGTGGCTTAATGGATAAGAGCGTTGGCCTCCGGAGCCAAAGATTGTGGGTTAGAGTCCTGCCAGGAGCAGTTCCTATTTTACTGGAGAGGATATTAGTTTAACAGCATTTGTCGAATACAAAATAGACTAATTATACTAAGAACTTTAAATTCTTCGAAACTCAAAGCCTCTCCTTAAGGTAAACATTAAATGTTTTAACTCCAATTGCACATTCTTCAGTATTTCCTTTTTTGTAAAGTAGTTTCTGAGCGCTCCTGTGGCCTAATGGATAAGGCGTTGTTGGCCTCGGAGCCAAGATTGTGTGGGTTTCAGGTCCTGCCAGGGAGCAGTTCCTATTTTACTGGAGGATATTAGTTTACCCTTGTTGTCCCATTCAAAATAGACTAATTATAAGAACTTTAAATTCTTCGAAACTCAAAGCCTCCTTAAGGTAAACATTAACTGTTTTAACTCTCCAATTGCATATTCTTCAATTATTTCCTTTTTTTGTAAAAGTAGTTTCACAGGCGCTCCTGTGGCCTAATGGATAAGGCACGTTGGCCTCCAGGAGCCAAAGATTGTGGAGTTCGAGTCCTGCCAGGGCAGTTCTATTTTACTGGAGAGGATATTAGTTTAACCTTGTTGTCGAATACAAAATAGACTAATTATACTAAGAACTTTAAATTCTTCGAAACTCAAAGCCTCTCCTTAAGGTAAACATTAAATGTTTTAACTCCAATTGCATATTCTTCAGTATTTCCTTTTTGTAAAAGTAGCTTCTGAGCGCTCCTGTGGCCTAATGGATAAGGCATTTGGCCTCCCGGAGCCAAAAGATTAATGAGTTCGAGTCCTGCCAGGGGCAGTTCCTATTTTACTGGAGAGATGTGGTTTAACCTTGTTGTCGAATACACCAAATAGACTAATTATACTAAGAACTTTAAATTCTTCAGAAACTCAAAGTCTCTCTCCTTAAGGTAAACATTAAATGTTTTAACTCCAATTGCACATATTCTTCAGTATTTCCTTTTTGTAAAGTAGTTTCTGAGCGCTCTTGTGGCCTAATGGATTAAAGGCGTTATCGGAGCCAAAAGATTGTAGGTTAGAGTCCTGCCAGGAGATATTACTATTTTACTGAGGATATTAGTTTAACCTTGTTGTCCCATTCAAAATAGACTAATAACAAGGAGCTTTAAATTCTTCGAAACTCAAAGCCTCCTTAAGGTAAACATTAACTGTTTTAACTCAATTGCATATTCTTCAGTATTTCCTTTTTTTGTAAGAGTAGTTTCACAGGCGCTCCTGTGGCCTAATGGATAAGGCGTTGGCCTCCGGAGCCAAAGATGGTAGGTTCGAGTCCTACCAGGAGCAGTTCCTATTTTACTGGAGGATATTAGTTTAACCTTGTTGTCCCATGCAAAATAGACTAATAATAATTAACTTTAAATTCTTCGAGCTCAAAGAAGCTTAGCCTCCTTAAGGTAAACATTAACTGTTTTAACTCCAATTGCATATTCTTCAGTATTTCCTTTTTGTAGAGGTGGTTTCTGAGCGCTCCTGTGGCGTAATGGATGGAGCGTTGGCCTCCGGAGTCAAAGGTGTGGGATCAGGATTCTGCCAGGAGCAGTTCCTATTTTACTGGAGAGGATATTAGTTTAACCTTGTTGTCGAATACAAAATAGACTAATTATACTAAGAACTTTAAATTCTTCGAAACTCAAAGGCTCCTTAAGGTAAACATTAAATGTTTTAACTCCAATTGCATATTCTACAGTATTTCCTTTTTTGTAAAGTAGTTTCTGAGCGCTCCTGTGGCCTAATGGATAAGGCGTTGGCCTCCGGAGCCAAAGATTGTGGGTTCGAGTCCTGCCAGCAACAGTTCCTATTTTACTACAGAGGATATTAGTTTAACCTTGTTGTCCCATTCAAAATAGACTAATAACAAGGAGCTTTAAATTCTTCGACTCAAAGCCCCTCCCTTAAGGTTAAGATTAACTGCTTTAAAAACTCAACTGCGGAATTCTTCAGTATTTCCTTTTTTGCTTGAAAGTAGTTTCCGGGCACTCCTGGGGCCTAATGGATAAGGCGTTGGCCTCGGAACCCAAAAGATTGTGGGTTCGAGTCCTGCCAGGAGCGTTTCCTATTTTACTGGAGAGGATATTAGTTTTTACCCTTGTTGTTCCATTCAAAATAGACTAATAACAAGGAACTCTTTAAATTCTTCGAAACTCAAAGCCACCTTAAGTTTAAGATTAACTGTTTTAAAACTCCAATTGCCGATTCTTCAGTATTTCCTTTTTGTAAAAACGCTTCCGGAGCACTCCTGTGGCTAATAAGGCGTTGGCCTCGGAGCCAAAAGATTGTGGGTTCGAGTCCTGCCGGGCAGTCCTTTTTACTGGAGAGGATATTAGTTTAACCTTGTTGTCCCATTCAAAATAAACTAATTACTAAGAACTTTAAATTCTTTGAAACTCAAAGCCTCCTTAAGGTAAACATTAATTGTTTTAACTTCAATTGCCGATTCTTCAGTATTTCCTTTTTTGTAAAGCAGCTTCGGAGCACTCCTGTAACCTAATGGATAAGGCGTTGGCATCAGGAGCCAAGAATGGTGGGTTCGAGTCCTTCCAGGAGCAGTTTCTATTTTACTGGAGAGGATATTAGTTTACATTTGTTGTGTCTGATTCAAAATAGACTAATTATTGAGAACTTTAAGTTCTTCGCGAAACTCAAAGCCTCCTCTTAAGATAAACATTAACAGTTTTTTCTCCAGTTGCCGATTCTTCAGTATTTCCTTTTTCAACGCTCCTGTGTCTTGGGAACAGGGACGTTCTAACCCTTGAAAAAATCGACTTTTCCATTTTCATGTCTAAAAAAAGTAGATTTAATGCTGATTCCAAAAATGTATAACATGTATAGGTTTAAAGCTTAATATCCGAATAATTGCGGTTTTAAAATGTAAGCAACAGCTGTCACGCCTGCTGTTTACGTTATCACTTACGTCAACTGCTACGCCCATCTTTCAGCTGACCGAAGCATGTTTTCATGTAGATTGAATTGTTTTATATCCCTTAATCTGGTTATTTATTTTTATTCTTGTGGTTTTACGAGAAGGACTATAACTACTCAACTCAATCTTGTTTATACTAAGCTGTGTGTGGGAATTTTAAACATTTGCTTTCTCGTGCTTGGTTAAAACCACTGTGAGTTACGAACTTCATATTTTTGACTGTTAGTAACTTTTTTGCATTCAATTTTTGCATTTGCGAGAATATTATTTAAATGTCAGCAATGGCTCGAACAAAAAAGTTTGGGCAAGTCAAGCACGTCGTTTAATTCGTAAAAAACACTTTAGTAAAGTACTGAGAGTGGGCAGTTGTCAGTGCATCCTAAAGAAAAGTGAAAAAAGTAGGTATCTTTTAAAAAGGACTATGAAGATAATTTTTCAGTTGAAACTCAAAGCAGGTATGTTATTATTGACAAATATGCTCAATGTTTTTCATAAATATTGAAAAATGCAGATATTGTGATAGAATCTTTCTGCTTTGATGTTGCTTTGAAAATAAAAGTAGTCGCAAAGGCCTTGCTACCAGTGTATCAGCTACTTGCAAGAAATATTGTAGTTCTGGTCATTCTTCGTGACTTTAAATACCGTGTCAGATGGATTATGAAGTAAATTTGAAGTTTGTTTATGGCATGAGGTGCATTGGAATTGGCAAAAGTGCAGCTCAGATATTTTTACAATGCACTGATGAACACACTCCTCACTCCAGCTAAATTTGAAAGACTGTATACGCCAATTTTAAAGCGTTGGAAACTGTTTCATCTCGTTCAATGGTTAACAGCGTTAATGAAGCTGTCATTGAAAATGTACACGGTAAGAACATAGCAATTGCTCTTGATGGGACCTGGCATAAAAGAGGACACTCTTCGAAGAATGGCGTTGTAACGACAACTTCTCTCGATAATGGAAAAGTTATTGATTTTGAGTGCCTATCAAAATATTGCTTTGAATGCAAAAATACGGAACAAAACCTGTGATAATTGCCAGGGGAAAACTATCATGGATTTAGTGCGGGAATGGAAAGTGAAGGAGCATTGCCGGATTTTCAGGTCGCTCTTTACCAAATTACAATGTTCGGTATGTTCAGTACCTTGAGATGATGGAAATTCGAAGGGGTTCCTAAAAGTTTAAGAATCAAACATATACGGTGGTAATTTCCTGTTGAAATAGAAGAGTGCATCATACGTCCAGAAGGATGGGAGCAAGACTGAGAGCCTAAGAACAATTTAAAAATCCACTAAGCTGTCAGACAACAAACCAATATCTGGACGAGGAAGGCTGACAGATGCAATTCTTCCGCTGCAAAAATATTATGTGGCTAGCCATAAGAATAAATGTTGGAAAATCAGTTTGCAGATATGTCCAGCCTCTGGGCGGCCATATTTCCATAAACTGTCGACAGATGAAAATCCGCAACATGCTTTGTGCCCTATGGGAGAAGAAAGTTGGTGCAGGTACAATAAGAAAGCATTGTATCAGGTGAAAAATACGCCTAGTATTCCTCCAGAAGCAGTTCTTTTAAAATTAAAAAATTTTAGTGACTTAACTGCAAAAGGAGCACAGGCTAAAATGTTTGCATGGCCAAACTCAGAATCCCAACGAAACCTTTAATAACTGTGTGTGGAATCGTGTGCCGAAAAAAACATTTGTGAGCAAAAACCTTTGCAAATGGGTGTTATGGACGCAGTTATATGCTTTAATGAAGGTGCATACGCAAGGACAAGTATTAAAAGCATTAAAAAATCAATCAGGCATCAACACTTGTGAAGGCCTTCGCAAAATTGACTACGTCAGGAATTTGTGGCTGGATGGCTGTTCAAAAGCTACCAAAAGTAAAAACCACAAGGCAAATTAAAGGCAGGATTGCTTTAGAACAGTCGAGAAAATGCTGAATGAGTACAGTGCTGGAAATTTTGAAATACAAATCTTAGGTAAGTACATCATTTTTATTTAGTTTTTTCAATTTTCTCAAAGTGTGAGCAGTTTTTGGGAACTTGTGGCCAGAAAAATCTATTTGTTATGTTTAATGAGAGAAACTTGGTATGGGCTTTTTGTGTCATGAGAATGTATTTAATGCTAGTAATTTGTTTCTGAAATGTTAATATTTTTACTTTTATTGCTCAATTTCTAAAAAATGCCATTTTATCAAAAATTTCAAAAGTCAAAATTCAAATTTTTTAAAAAAATTCTGTGCAAGGAAATATAAAAAAGAACGATTACATTTTAAATAAAGGTACAATTTTATAACTAACACAGCAGCTTTTGTGTTGTTATATGTTATAAAAGGAAAGATACATGTACCTAAAGAGCACCATGTATCCGAAAACTTTTTTTTGGTGTGTACTTTTTCGAATTCTTATATTTCTTAAAATATTTTATATATTAAATAATTTTATGTTGTAGTATATTATATATAAAATACATATATAGATTGCATGACACAATTTTTTTATTTATGGAGTCTTTCTGTTTTTGAAAATAATGTTCTTTCGAAAAGCGAAATTTTGCTCATTTTGTGTCATCGAGAACGTCCCGGTTCCCTTAATGGATAAGGCGTTGGCCGTCGCAGCCAAAGATTGTAGGTTTGAGTCCTGCCAGGAACAGTCCTATTTTAACGGAGAGGATATTAGTTTACCCTTGTTGTCCCATTCAAAATAAACTAATTACTGAGAACTTTAAATTCTTCGAAACTCAAAGCCTCGTTAGGGTAAACATTAACTTTTTTACTCCAATTATATATATATATATATATACCGTTTCTTCAGTATTTCTTTTTGTGGAAGAAGTTGCTGAATGCTCCTGTGAACTAATGGATAAAGCGTTGGACTCCAGAGCGAAAGATTGTGGGTTCGAGTACTACCAGGAGCAGTTCCTTTTTTAATGTTGAGGATATTAATTTACACTCTTGTCGTCCCATTCAAAATAGACTAATTACTGAGAACTTTAAATTCTTCAAAATTCAAAGCCTCGTTAGGGTAAACATTAACAGTTTTTACTCCAATTGCCGATTATTCAGTATTTCCTTTTTTGGAAGTAGTTGCTGAGCGCTCCTTCGGCCTAATGGATAAGGCGCTGGAATCTGGAGCCAAAGATTATGGATTAAAACCACCGGAGCTTTTCCCTTTTTTGGGAGGATATTAGTTTAACCTTGTTGTCCCATTCAAAATAGACTAATTACTTGGAGTTTTAAATTTTCTTCGAAACTCAAAGCCTCGTTAGGGTAAACATTAACACTTTTTTACTCCAATTACCGATTCTTCGGTATTTCCTTTTTTCTGAAGTTTTTACATTAGTCTCCAGTGGCCTAATCGAAACTCAAAGCCTCGTTAGTGTAAACATTAACAGTTTTTACTCCAATTGCATATTCTTCAGTATTTCCTTTTTTGGAAGTAGTTGCTGAGCGCTCCTGTGGTCTAATGGATAAAGCGTGGGCTTCCAGAGAAAAAGGTTGTGGGTTCGAGTCCTACCAGGAGCAGTTCTTTTTTAATGTTGAGGATATTTCTTTTTACACTTGTCATCTCATTCAAAATAGACTAATTACTGAGATCTTTAAATTCTTCTAAACTCAAAGCCTCGTGAGGGTAAACATTAAAAGTTTTTACTCCAATTGCCGATTCTTCAATATTTCCTTTTTTGTAAAGTAGTTGCTGAGCGCTCTTTCGGCCTAATGGATAAGGCGTTGGCTTCCGGAGCCAAAGATTGTGGGTTCGAGTCCTGCCAGGAGAAATTCCTATTTTAATGGAGAGGATATTAATTTACCCTTGTTGTCCCATTCAAAATGTGGCCGCGGTAGCCGAGTGGTATGGGTTATCGGAATGCAGCTTGCCTTGTCGTGAGTTTGAGTCCCGTACCACTGAAGACCCGCCGTGTAGGTTTAATCTGTCGAGAGCTGAAGCGTCCTCTCGTTGGTGTGGTAGCTAGGAGTGAGTGGTGCCAGCTCAGGTGTCGTCCACGTCACTTGAACATGGTTCAAAATTACGTGGTCAATCGCCAAAAGCCCTCTTGTAGCTGAACATTGCGACATTAATATTCAAACAATCAGTCCCATTCAAAATAGACTAATTACTCAGAAATTTTAATTCTTCGAAACTCAAAGCCTCGTTACGGTAAACATTAACAGTTTTTACTCCAATTGCCGATTCTTCAGTATTTCCTTTTTTCTGAAGGTGTTACTGAGATCTCCTGTGGCCTAATGGATAAGGCGTTTGTCTCCGAAGCCAAAGATTGTGGGTTCGAGTTCTGTCAGGAGCATTTTCTATTTTAATGGAGAGGATATTAGTTTACATTTGTTTTCTCATTCAAAATAGACCAATTAATGAGAACTTTAAATTCTTCGAAACTCAAAGTCCCCGTTAGGGTAAACATTAACAGTTTTTATCCAATTCCATTTTCAACCTTTTTTGTAAAGTAGTTGCTGACGCCCAGTGGCCTAATGGATAAGAGATTGGCCTCCGGGCCAACGATTTGGTTTCGAGTTCTGCCAGGGGCGTTAGGTTTAAAAAAGAGGAAGG